CAGGGTCACTGAACATAACGACTCCTCTCATGCCTTGTGCTTCAGCATTCCGAACCTTGACGCCACGAAACGGTCCTCCATATTTTGCAAGGGCAATCTTGCCTGCCAAGTCGATATTGGCCGCTGTGAGTGCAGCAAAGTCGTCTTTGTGGCCGCGGCTATGACATGTAAGCAAGATTCACCACGGTAGAAGTAGTGACCACTTACCCAACATAGACGTACTCGGCTTCTACCTGGCCAGAAGCTGAATAGCCATGGAATGCTGGCAACGCTTGACTCTGCGGGTAGCTTGTCGTTTCGTCCTCCGGTAGGGCATCTTCGTACAGTTGAGCCGTGTATTGAGTGGAATTGCCCGTCTTCAGGACCAGACTCTGCTCTTTCGGGTAATTGAGGAATACTTCATACTCTACAAATGAGGCAGGTACCCCATTCTCTGTCCACGTCTTCGCGGTTTGCTCCGCCATGGATTTGTTGCGTCCGGCAATGTGGTCGCCATGGGTGTAGTAAGAGGACCACGTATCGATAAGAGCAGTTGAAAAAGATGTGTGTAGAATCTTCTCATTCTCATTCCATACCGGTGGGAACGGCGCTGTCTGGCGAGGTACTAGAGGAAGTTGTTGTGACTGCTGGCCGAGATCGAGGCTGCGCAGTTCTCGTTGGCATGCTGTTGTTCGTTGCACGGCGGTCAGCGCAAGAAGAAGAGTAAGTATCATGATTGAGTGATATTTGTTACTGATGGAGTTGTGCTGCAGGCAGGTAGGTACCTAGTGAGTAGGTGCAAGGTAAAAGACAAGGGCACGTGCATTTGCACATTTCAACCGTGGAAGGTTCCTCATGAATGGGCAGGAGCAATCTCCCGGTCTCGGTTCCCCTCCCGATGGTTAGAGTTCTGTACAGCATGCGTCTCGTACAGTCCCTCTTGTGGAATGCGACAGGGGTGTGTGAATAGCCGCTATGGTGCTGGGCTGGGTGATGGGCCAGACCGGACGGCTAAGGTCGGTGCCATCGCTGAGCGAAAAACATGATCCTGCTGTACGCAGCGTGGATGCTCCAAGGATCCTGAGATCTTGAAATGTAAATCAGGAGTAACAAATACCTTCAGGCTTGTTCAAGAGTAAATTGATCAGTCAATTGGCATACCTCTTACATGGAAATTCCCCTACTATACGCTCGCTTTTCCCACTCAAAGCTCGTTGTGGCCAGGCGTCTCCGGATCTTGTGAGACGTCTTCTGCAACCTCTTCTACCTCAATCTTGACCTGCTCTTCTATATTCTCAGCCTTTGCCACTGGCTCCTCACCAGCAATCAGAAGGGAGTCAGGTATCTTCTCCTTCTTGCCTTCACCCATGCGAATAGCGTCGACCCATTGCTCAACCTCATCAGCTCCGAAAGAGCTGCCAGAGTACTTCTTGTACCATGCGCGCTTTCCGTTGGTGGCAATAAGGTGGACGTCATCTGCACTTCCGAGACCAAGCTCTGTGATGATGGTGGCAGCAAGTGGGTTTGTGGATGAGACGCCGACAAATGGGAAGAGATGGCTGCCGGTAGCATCATACTTCTTGTGGATTGATGCAAGGGATGCGATGGCAGTGGCTGCAGCCTCCGAGGCTTCGTCCTTGGGAAGGAGGGCTAAGACGCAAGTCTTGCTCTGTTCGGTCAAGCACATTGTCTGCAGTTCGGCAGATTCGGATACGAGAGGAATGGTAGGCTTGGTCTCTTCTACCGGAAGCTCGATCGGGTCGGGTGTGTTTTCGTCCTTGACATTTGGATCAGGCGATTCGGTAGGCATGCCAGCCTCCTCTACAGTCTCATCGGTCGCTGATGCGGCAGCTGACGATGAGTCTGCTGACTTGTGCGAAGCTGAGGCTTTCGCAAATTTTCTAGAGGACTTGGATTCCTTCTTGGCATCCTTCTTAGCCTTTGACTTCTTCTCTTTGCCGGGTGGGCAGTCGGGGTTTGGTGGGGCGACTTGGGAGAGGAATTCGACCATGGCTGCTTTATCGACCTTGCCCTCATGCTTGATGGGGGTCTCGGAGCCCGCAGGAATGAGAATCAAGCTCGGGAAGTCGGTGATTCCATACTTTTCCACTGCTGCCTTTTCCGACTTCTTGACCTGTGCGACCGAGACGATACCAGCGAAGTCAATCGCTAGGGCGCGTAGTGTAGCACTGACAATACCCTTCTCACTGAAAAGGATAGCCTTGGCGGTGTCCTTGTTCTCTTGGAGCCACTCGTTCAGGTTCTTGTCGTTGACCCTCTTGACCACGTTGGGAACCTTGTCCTTGACGGCGTCAACGATGCCCTTGGCCGAACGAGGCCCCTGGTAGTCCTCCACCGTAGGCTTTCCGGGCTTCTTGCCAGGCCGGACGATCTTGAGGGTAGGGAAGCCCTGGACGCCCATCTTTCCGCAGAAGGGCTTGTTCATTTCCTCATCGCAGTTGACGGCGGCGACCTTGGCGATACCGGCGAGGGATTTGGCGGCCGTCTCGTAGGCCGGCTTGAGGTTCTTGCAGTGGCCGCACCATGGCGCGTAGAATCTGGGACGTGTCAGGAAGGAGTGCGACGATGATTGGAGATGGCTTACTCGACAATCTAGGGAGTTGTTAGATAGTCCTTGCTAGTAGATTGGGATTATACATACAGAAGTGTAGTTAGACTTTGCGATTACTCGGTCATAGTCCATGCCGGAGATCTGGACGACGGCGCTGTTCTTACCGTAGATGCTCTCGGCGTGGGCATTCAGGGCCAGCGCGGCCGTGGCGGCGAACAGCGTGGTTGCGCGGACCATGGTTGCAGTGTAAGTGGAGTTGCGAGGATGAAATGGGGACTGAGCAGGAGGGGCGCCGCTGCAGTGATGATATAGGCTCACATGGCGGAGTTGCCAGGTTGGCCTTTTCTTTCACTTGTAACAGCTTGCCATAAGTTGCATGGCCATAGCTGAGATGCGGGGAGACAGGGGTCGCAGTCTGGACTAGCGCCTATGACCGCATTCTAGGCGCCTGCATCTCTACGCATCCATCTCCAGACTAAACACCGCGTCTTCTTAGTACACGATCTACTCCAACAATGGCCGACACAGTACCGGCAAAGCTCAAGAGCCTGCAGCTCGCGTCTTTCGCGAAGCGCGCTGCCCAGCTCGAGCGATTCAAGCCTATCATCACCTACTGGTGTGAGTACCGCGCGCGTCGACACGAGAATTGTATACTAAAGCTAGGCAGTACGCTTCTACATAGTGCAAAGAATCATCGCCGGTGGATTGCACTCGGCCGACCAAGAATGCACCGCCTACACGACCGACCTCATGGAAAAGCTCGAGCAAGCAAAGGCCGAGAACCCCAACGAGGATGCCTTGCTGGATGACACGGTCGCGAGCGCATACTGCGAACAGTTCGCGCTACAGACTCTCGCAAAGGCAGAAAGGGAGATGGCCGAGAACAGAGTCAATGGGTACGCACTACAAACATAGCCTTATCGCTGCCGCTTGGTCTAACAGCCTCCCAGGCAGACAGCCGATACCCTCCTCGCCGCGTCTACGTTCCTCGAGATCATGTCGATATGGAAGAACAACGATCCGGAGATCACATCCAAAACCAAGTTCGCCAAATACCACGCGCTACGCATCGTCAAAGCCATCAAGGCCAACGAAGACCCCAATGCGACGAACCCCGTACAGGAAACACCGCAGCAGCCCATGTCGCCGTCTGCTCTAGATCCAAACGACCCAGAAGTCCAGCGCATAAACCAAGGCGCTCCACCCCCGAACCCATACCAACCATTTGTAGAGACAGCACCTAATACCTCGACTCAACCATCGCCCAACTTCTCCGCACGCCAAGTATCACCACCACCTCCCAACCTCCCTTCTGCACCTACTGGATACACACAGTCATCGCACAACGATGTATCTCCAATATCACAACCCGGCACCTCGAGGCAAGGCTCTGTCGTTTCGATCGGTGGCGGATACTTCCCGAGGACAGACGCTCCTGATCCCCCTACATTCACAGCAGAGACGACAGCACCAGGTCTACCAACGGCGCCAATGGACATAGACCCGATGACGTCTTCTCTTCCCACAAGCCCTCAGCCACCGCAAGCTCCGGAACCATCAGATCCTGCAAGCTTCTATCAAAACCCGGCGTCTCCTGCGCCTGCCCAGGCTCCTCAGCAGCCACCACCTCAAAACCCATACCAATCTCCTACACCTCCACAAGTTCCGCAAAAGCCCCAGAGATTATCTTCCAGCTTCGGAGCACCCCCACAACAACATCAGTTTGCTTCGCCTTCGCCACAGCCGCCTCAACAACAGTACCAACAAGGCGGATTCTCTCAGCCTGCTCAGCCGCAGTACCAGTCAACGCCCCACCAGAATCCATACGCTCAACCACAACCTCCTCTCCAGCAAACATCGCAGGGTCCGTTCAGGAATGACGAGGATTCCATCATGGAAGCTACAAAGCATGCCAAGTGGGCCATTTCTGCGATGAACTTCGAAGATGCAGATACTGCTGTGAAGGAGCTACGCACAGCGTTGCGGGCTCTGGGTGCGTTATAGGAACGTGCTCATCCTTATGTAGCATGAAGAGGAGAGCAACATGGATCTATAATCTCCGTATCACTTGTTAGTGCGATGTATACCCCTGTGTTATAGATATATGCACCGTTTTTAAGAGGTGAGCCGAGGTAGCTACAATGGAACACAAGCTTTGATCATGCACGATCAGAGTTACGAACGCAAGCGCTAGCTCTAGTTCCTGAACATAGTCAATCTTGATATTATAATACTCAAGTGAAGATCACCAAGCGCATGTGTTGGCCGTATATCCACAATTCTGCCAAGACTCTGTCGTGCACGTGCCTTGGGTCCAACGCTTAAGAGCCGAAAATCCAACCACCTCGTTCTCACCCTCTATCGACCTTCACATCACAAGGGCGACTGCATGTAGTCATGCATCTGAGGCTCATTTGTAAAAGCTGTAATTCATGATACAGCGGCGAAGATGGCGCCCATCACACCTCTCAATGCGGCGGATATAACTGAAAAAGCGCGCCGGGAGCTGCTGCTCCTGCTCGAGGGTGTAAGGTAATATCAACGTCGCAGACCTCTGCACCATCTAACGCGTGCGGACAGATCAGAGGAAAGAAGAACCTCGTGCTAGAGAAAGCTCTCGCAGGCCCGCTCAACCTGCTCGTCAAGTTCTCCACGCTCCAGGAATATGGCGTCGACAAGCCCTTCTTCCTTGAGAACGACAATGTCGACTCTTCTCAGCGCAACATCGTCTTCCTGGTTAGAGGCGAGAAAGCAAAGACTGTGATGGCTGTTGCTGGTAAGTGAAGCTCCCTCGGCTTCCTTTCCTCCATCTGCCTCACGGCTTTTGGAGCTTTGGGTCAAAAAGTAGGCTAGACAGACAGTACCCACTCTGCCTAGCCAGTCTTGATCCCTAGATTGAACATAGCACTTTTTTTGGATTGCCCTTCATCTCCATGTAGGAGCAGTCTATTGTACGGTGCTAACATACTAGATAGATCAAATCAAACGTATTCGGCGAGACAGCCAAATTGAACATGAATTCTCCATCTTCTGGGTCCCGCGCCGTACTATGACCTCCGACCAATTACTCGAAGAGGCGGGTGTCTTGGGTGAAGCGAGCGTGAGCGAATGGCCGCTGTTCTTCGTGCCGCTTGCAGATGATGTGCTATCGCTTGAACTTGAAGATGCTGTGTCAGATCTTTATCTCGTATGTGCGTCCTGGATCTGGTGAGGATTTGATACTAACCCTGCGTAGAAGAAAGATCCTACCGCAATCTACTTGTCAGCCAAAGCGCTCATGCTTCAGCAGCAGAAGTATGGTCTCTTCCCGCGCATCATCGGCAAAGGTGACAATAGCAAGCGACTTGCCGACCTACTCATCCGTATGCGTACCGAAGTCACGGCCGGTGAGACCTCTGCCGGCGGTGGACCGTCGTTCTTGGGCTTAGCACCTAGTTCCAATATCGACAGTCTGATCATCATTGACCGAGAAGTCGACTTTCCCACAGCGCTACTGACTCAGTTGACATATGAGGGACTCATCGACGAAGTCTTCAACATCACCGCCAACCAGACCGAAGTCGACTCTTCCATAGCTGGTGGTGCACAGCCTCAGCAAGGTCAGACCGGATCAGCATCGACAAGTATGAAGCGCAAGATCATGATTGATTCGAAAGACGCTCTATACGCCGATCTAGGTGATGCGAACTTTGCTATCGTCGGTAACTTGCTCAACCAAGCAGCTCGTCGTCTGCAGAGCAGCACAGGACGCGACCAGCTTGCCACAAAGACGACTACAGAGCTTCGTGACTTTGTCGCCAAGTTGCCCGGTTACCAGGCCGAGCAAGCCAGCTTGAAGCTACACACCAGTCTGGCTGAGGAAATTATCAAATTCACGCGCACCGACATCTTTACGCGGAGTTTGGAAGTGCAGCAGAATATCATGTCTGGCGCCGACCCAACAACACAACACGACCTCATCAATGAGCTCATCAACCGTGATGTACCGCTACCCGCCATCCTTCGCTTGCTCTGCCTAGAGTCCACCACCAACGCCGGCATCCGTCCGAAGGATCTCGAGGCCTTCAAGCGCGCCATCATCCAAGCATACGGCCCGCAACACATCCTGACCCTCGCCTCCCTCGAGAAGATGGGTCTACTAGGCCCACGAGGCGGCGTAAGTCTCGGTGGCGTAGGCGCGCCGGCCAAACCCGGCAGCGTAACAAACTACACGCCCCTGCGCAAGAGTCTCAAGCTCTGGGACGACGACGTCAACGAAGCAAGCCCCAACGACATCAGTTACACCTTCTCCGGCTACGCGCCTCTCAGCGTCCGCATCATCCAATCCATCATTCAGAAACACACGCTCGCCAACGCCATCAAACCCCCCTCCGATCCCCGCGCAAGCGCCCAAGCCAACCCCCTCGCCCAAGGCCTCCGCATCTTCGACGACGCTAGCAAATACATCCGCGGCGCCACGTTGGATGAGACGCAAAAGGGCGAGGAGAAGGCCGTCAAGGCGCGGCAGCTGTTGAATGGGAGTGCAGGTGAGAAGAACAAGACTATTGTTGTTTTCTTCCTGGGAGGTGTTACGAGGGCTGAGATTGCGGCGCTGAGGTTTGTGGGCGAGAAGTTGAAGGAGAGCGGTGGAGAGGGGAGGGGCAGCAGGATTGTGGTTTGTGCGACGAATGTGGTCAAGGGAGAGGGGTTGGTGGGGAGTGCGATTGAGAAGCAGAGGTTTAAGGCTTGAGATGGTGATGGTGGTGGTGGTAGCCGTGATAGCGCACATATGTCGAAGTAGACTCTCTTAATGAACACTTTTCTTTGAGAATAGTGTCTCCTCCTTTCTATGGCTGGTCGACATCGAAGAAGGGAAGAAGAAGTCATGCTGTGGAGAATGCGCCTTCCTCCCGGAAGAAGCCACCATGTATTTAGGTGTGCCATTGTGCATTGCTTGAGCAGAAGCATCGGCACATGCGACATCGCAGACGGAACAGTAGAAGGTCTTCTCCTCAATCGCCTTGACTTGTTTGGCTCGTGTCTGAGGATACTGTTTTGCGTTGCGGGCCTTTTGACTGGCCTTCCACCCTTCTGTAGGACTCGCTCTCTTCTCTCGACCGTATGAAGATGCGTAAGCCTTGTCCTTCGCCCTTGTCGCAGCCTCAAGCTCCTCAAGCTCTTCCTTAGTAAGGTCGAGGTCACCCTCAACAGGGTCGAGGAGAGGGCTGTGGGAACAGCAGCTTTCTATGGCTGGCCGACATCGAGGAAAGGAAGAAGAAGAAGAAGTCATGCTGTGGAGAATGCGCTTTCCTTCAGAAGCCACCATGTATATGCTTCGATTCACGAACCACAGTCAAGGGCGCTAGCAAATTTGCCGAATACATGGGCCCATCATCTTGTCGAGATGCTGATCATGATGTATCCTGGAGGTAGTCGGTGGGAGCGACAGCCACATAGGAACTAAACATGATAGAGTCTGTTGTGATCCGAGGTGTGTTGGAAGAGTATCACAGAACAGAATCATGATATAGCCAGGAGGTATTCGCTGCTCATCGCAAAGACCACCGGTGGAAAATACGGCAATGTAGTCGTCACAGCAACATTCATAACGATGGTATATTCAGTGAAGTCATTTCAATTTCCTTTCCACTCTCTTCATGTAGCTACCTCGTGAGTTACATAAGAGACATTGACCGCTGGCATACTTTTGCAGAACATCCATTACGATCGTTTCGTCAGGCATCGTCGTGAAAGTACAAAGAAGACTTTTCCGCGTTCCTGAATACCGGGAACCCATGAAAGATAAGGAACCAAACACACCAAGTCTATCGTTAAATGCCGCAATAGATGAAACTCCGTTCGCAGCTCGCAGTCTGGGTATCCTGCACGTGCGCCCTTCCTTCCTTCCTGCACGCCCTTGTGGCGCTGCTGTCATGTGATGCGCTTATCGGGTGGAGAAGGCCTTGGTGACAGTGCGCTTGAGCGCAAGCTCCTTCTTCTTCAGGTCATCAGCGGGGGCGTCCTCAACCTCGAGCTGAGCCATGGCGTCAGAGAGAGCAGACTCGATCTTCTCCTTCTGGCCACGCTTGAGGCGGATGGATGTGGTGGGGTCGGAGATCATCTCCTCAACGCGGGAGATGTAGGACTCAAGCTGTTGCCTTGACTCGAACTTCTTGCTGAAGGCCTCGTCGGAGGACTTGAACTTCTGGGCGTCGTTGATCATGTTCTCGATGTCGGCAGACGAGAGCTTTCCGACAGCGTTGGAGATGGTGATGTTGGCGCTGCGGCCGGAGGTCTTCTCGGTGGCGGTGACCTTCAGGATACCGTTGACGTCGACCTCGAAGACGACCTCAAGGACGGCCTCACCAGCGCGCTGGGAAGAAGTCAGTAACGGTGCGTAACATGAGGTGCAAAAATCAGCTCACCATGGGAGGAATTGGCGCGAGGGTGAACTCTCCGAGAGAGGTGTTGTCCTCGCAGTTGACACGCTCACCCTGGAAAACAGGGAACTGTACAGTCTGCTGGTTGTATTGGGGCTTGTCAGCATGGTCTTATCAAAAGTGTTTCATGGGGTACAAACCTGCGACGGTGGTGAAGGTCCTCTTCTTGATGGTCTGGGTGCAAAAGTCAGCGAATGCAAAGCCATTTAGCGATAGCGATACGTACAGGGACGGTCTGACCGCGGGGAACGACGGGAGCGAAGATGTTACCCTCCATGGCTACACCAAGGGAGAGGGGAACAACATCGAGAAGGAGGAGGTCGGCAGTCTCGGCGGAGGTGGCCTTTCCGGAGAGGATACCAGCCTGGACGGCGGCACCGTAGGCAACGGCCTCATCGGGGTTGATGCTCTTCTCGAGCTTCTTTCCGTTGAAGTAGTCGCTGAGGAGCTTCTGGATCTTGGGGATACGGGTGGAACCACCAACAAGGACGATCTCGTCAACCTTGTCCTTGGCGATGGCGGCGTCCTTGAGAACCTGGGCAACGGGGTCCAGAGTGCCAGCGAAGGCCTTCTGGTTCAAGTCCTCGAAACGAGCACGGGTGATGTTGGCGTTGAAGTCCTCACCGTCGAACAGCGAGTCGATCTCAACAGTGGTCTGGGTGGCGTTGGAGAGGGTACGCTTGGCACGCTCGCAAGCAGTCCGGAGACGACGGAGGGCACGGGCGTCACCGCTGATGTCCTTCTTGGTCTTCTTTGTGAACTCCTTCTTGAAGTGGTCAAGGAGGTTGGTGTCGAAGTCCTGTCCACCTGCAACGAAGTCAGTATATGTCTCAAATGCACTTTGTGCAGCCACCTTATACAAGGGAAAAACTGAACAGGTCTGCAGACTACATTGACCCAAAACCTTGCAAAAGAGGTGACCTAAAGTCAACGTAGGCTCCAGGCTGTTCAGTTTCTCCTCAGGTTAGCGTGCAGCCAGAACTTACCCAAATGTGTGTCACCAGCGGTAGCCTTGACGGTGAAGACACCACCCTGGATGTGGAGAAGAGACACATCGAAAGTACCACCACCGAGATCGTAGATGAGGACGTTCCTCTCCTTGTCAGACTTTCCGGAACCGAGACCGTAAGCGATAGCGGCGGCGGTAGGCTCGTTGATGATACGGAGAACGTTGAGGCCAGCAATGGCACCGGCGTCCTTGGTGGCTTGACGCTGGTTGTCGTTGAAGTAGGCGGGAACGGTGATGACGGCCTTCTCGACCTTCTTTCCGAGCTTGGTCTCAGCGACCTCCTTCATCTGTTGATTTTGTTAGCCATTGCCCCGCCATGCTGGTGTGTGCGCAGATCTTACCTTGACGAGAACCATGGCAGAGATCTCCTGGGGAGAGAACTGCTTGGTCTCACCGAGGTACTCAACCTCGACGAGAGGGCTGCCGCCCTGGTCAACGACCTTGAATGGCCATGACTTGATGTCCTTTGTGACGGTCTCGTCCTCGAATCGGCGACCAATGAGACGCCTGCGAAAGTCAGTCGGCTGATCGCGCGCGTGCGACGATTGAACGGCAGAACTCACTTGACATCGAAGACGGTGTTCTCCGGGTTCATAGCAGCCTGGTTCTTGGCCGCCTCACCGATGAGACGCTCCTCGCTGGTGAAGGACACGAACGAGGGGGTAGTGAAGCTACCCTGCTCGTTGGCGACTGTGGGCAAACATTGTTAGACACTGGTCTCTGAGTGCAGGAGTGGCGGGCGCATACTGATCTCGACATTGGTGCCCTCGTAGTTGGCAACGCAAGAGTAGGTGGTGCCTGCGATATTGTTAGCACACACGCATCCCACTGTGGGGTAATTCGCGAATATTACGCACCAAGATCGATGCCGATGGCACCCTCGTAGACTTCGTCGCTCATGATTGCGGTATGTGTATAAGGAACAACCTGAAAAATTGAAGAGCAGGAAGGTGTTGGAGAGAAGGTGGAAAAGAGGGTTGGGAATCTTTTTCGCGCTTGCTTAAAGGCGAGCGATCAGAGAAAAATTGGCCTGGCAGGGATCTCTCGTAGTGTCGGCGAATGACGCTAGGCAGACTCGGTTAACCTGGCGCGGCGCTTATCGATACTCAATGAAAAACCATCCATCCAACATCGATATATCCTCAAGCCTCGGCCCGCTGAGAAAGAAAAGAGTCCGGACCATGACATTGAGAAGGTGCCCCGCAGCCAAGATTTGACGCCTAGCGGGAAGTTTTGAGACAAGACCTGCCTATATCGTCCTCAGTCTTGTCAACCCACGCCGGTACACGCCCGGCGCTATCATCTGAAAATGCTTTGGAACATTGAGTGGTACGGTAGTTGTCTAGCAGACTGACCCCAACAAGCCTTTCTTGAAGTTGGGCCATCGTGTTGCCCCCTCGGGTCAAATCAATGGCCGCAAGATCCAAGATTCTGGTTATCTTCGTCGTGGCTTACATCCGCAGAGAGCTTACCCGGTATGCCTCTAGCAATATGATCTCAGGAACTTTTGGGGTGTTGAGTATCACGGTAGGTTTCCAGCGTAGTGGACCAGATTGCCTACTTGAGACGTCGTCTTCATAAACGGACCAATTTATTGCCCTTCTCCTCGTGTCCATGGGTCCCGGAACAAAGACCACGACGATCTTCGCGATAGATTATTTCCATGACCAGCGTAACGCTTCTTCTACCTATCGGTGCGCCTGGAGCCGTCATACAAATGTTTGTAACCCCCGGTTTGATACTTTCCGATCTTTCTTTCAAGGTCTTTCCAACCCTTCTTCTATATCTACTTCCCTAGTCCCAGAGATCCCGTGCAACCATCTCACCAACTACCACAAACCACGATGCCTCGCACCCAACCCTACTACATTGTCAGCATCGAAGGCAAACTCTCCGCCACCTTCATCCCCCGCGTGGTCGGCGTCTTCTCCACTCCTGCCCTAGCCGTCGCCTCTGTCAAAAAGATTACACCACGTTGTGCGCGAGTACCTAATAACTCTGAGCCCGGTGTTATAAGATGCGTTGGCGACGATAGCGACATCAAAATCGAACTCCAGCACAGCGATATAGTTGGCACGTCTATAACCCCTGCTAACACTGTCTTCCTGGCCATCGACGAATGTGGCGACAGTATCGTCGAAACAAAGATATCAGGCACGGCGCATGATGCGTGGGCAGCATGCGAAGCTATGAAGCGTAAGTGCGGTAACTACTGGAAGGATGAGATAGAATGGACTAATAACAGGGGATGTAAACATGGACAGGCGGAGTTCAACATAACGACCTCTAGCATCCCAGCGGAATTTGGAGACAAAGAGTCACAGCAGTTGGCTGGCTTAAGAACAATGGGCATGTTGCAACATCACTGGTATGTCAAGAAGGTCGTGGTTGACACTTAGGAAGAGTAGGAGGCTGCTTCCCTGGAGACGTAGATTCATGGTGGAAGAGTTAGTCTGTACAGCGGAATAGAGTTGCTGAGAAGGCTACCTTAGAGGACTATGTGAATAGTGCGCAGTATAGATGGAAATGTCGTTACCGGCCGGCATCGGCAGTGGTGAACTATTCGAAATATCTTCTTAACCTTATACTGGGTACTGCTTGTGCTTCACGTCCATGTCTTCGCCATGCCCATCCTCCGACTGTTGCCCACACCCACTCTTCATTTTTCTCAGCCGTGTCCTTATGGCACAGCCTTCCTAGATATGTCGCAAGTTCGAAAGGATATCTGAAGTTCTCATTGCGAGGTGCGCAGTGGTATCAGCCCTTTCCTTCCTCGTTTGTCCACCTTTTGTGCCTTGGGGTTGCGATATGGATCTCGAACTCGGCCTGATCACCACAAGAGACATTGCATATCGCGCAGTGGAAGGTCTTGTCACTGACAGCCTTTTGCTGGTTGGCGTAGGTCTTGGGATAGTGTTTTGCGTTCGCGGTCTTCTGAGATGCCTTGACATCCGGGGCGGCGTCTTCTCTCCGTTGTCTTGAGTACTTCTCTACGATTGGGTCATTATGGGTGACCGGATCAATGATTCTATGTCGGAAAAAAGTGTAGTGAAGACTACATGATCCGAGAATGATGCGTAGTTCGGTTCGGGGAGAGGATGTAGTCGTCAATCTGAGTCAATTGTAGGTTCCACGATACAACTATGGAGCTGTGATCGTACAAGCTCAGGGCAGAAGATGGCCACACTCCTTGTTGCGAACTTCTGAGAGTGACAGACTGTACTGCTTGATAGGAGTAGCATCAAAGGCGGCAGTATGTCTCTCAATAGCGAGCGACTTTCACGAATTGGAGGAGGAGTCAAAGTTGCACACAGAGTGTATCGCTTTCCATATTCGATAGTCATGAGACCTGCCGTTGCGTCATATCCATTCCCATATCCCCTCCCTTTAGCCATACAATGAACGCCCTAAACACCAATTCCATGCTTTAGCCCATCTAGTCCCTCTTTCCCAAATGCCCACCCCATTCCCTCCATAACCCTCAGACCGTCTCATCATGAAAGACAAAATTAATATCTCTCGGCCGCTGAGTGTTATACCTGACAAAGTTGTCATCTCCCTGCGGCCTCTCTTTCTTCGTGTTGCTCGTCAGCATACTCTGAAGACTGACACACACGCTTTCGACGTTGTGGACGGGGGACCAGCCGGAGCGGTCGAGCAGGTCGAGGCAGATGATACCGTTGGAGTAGATGTGTGGGTGCCAGGGTATGGGGTGGGTTTCGTCGCGGAGGAAGATTACTTCGGGGGCCTGTGGGAAGGAGGGTTAGCAAGGTCTGGTTTGGAGGGAGGGTGCGGATGTTGGGTGTGTGGGTAGAGGAGCGTAGGGAAGGGTGGTAGGCAGGTAGTATGGAAAGGGAACACGTACCTCAATAGGATACTGGGGTGTAAAGCTAAACTTCAATCGATACGTTTCGCCCTGGTACAACGGATTCGAGTCCATAACTTGAATGTCCATGAGCCAGGTTTGGAAGTCGTCAGCCTTAATGAGAGTTATGCCTGGCGGGAGTTTTTCGTGCATCTATACGCCGTTGTGTTAGCGACTCTGTTCCTCCGTGTGTGAATTTCCATATCCGTTGCCTTCACATCCTGGCCGTATTGTGGGTGTAGAGGCTTCCGCGCATCGATACGTGGAGTTTATAGGCGTCTAACGGGTGACAATGTGCTTCGACGGGCAACGAACAATGAACGAGAGGATTACGGTACCTTTGCGAGCTCCTGTAATAGACGTTAGCTTCTAGATCCTTTCATATGTCGCATTGCAGTCAAGCTCCATCCCAGAGCTCAAGACCATAATAACATACCTTGCCTAACCGTTTCGACGCGAACATCGTGAAATGTGCAGCAGCAGCGCGCCTTCAACCTGGGGTGTACGCGTAGGTATATGTAGCTAACAATGTATCCTGGGCGGACTCAGAGTGAACGACGTGTATTGTAGCTTCGTTCCGAGGTAGCTGAACAGCTCACAAGCTTATGGACAAGCTGCGACCCTGCAGGTGGATTGGACAACGTGTGGGGGAGGGGCAACCGCGCGCGTATCAGGTAGCCGCCTAGGATTAAGAAGCGGCCGGAAAGTTCGATCGTAGAATTGGAGTGAGCGACAGGGAAGAGGCTGGAAGGCACGAGGTAGAGGTGATAGGATGTGTGAATTCTTTGCGCCGTCGCTGCCTGATGTCTCGGTGCTCGGCTTTGTTGCGAAGGTTCACGCGGCGCGCCAGGGCGGAACGCGGCTATCCAGGTACATTTTGCTGTGAACCATCTGGGCATCCTCATAGTTCACCAACCATGCCCTTCAATGCTATATGGCACTAGAGATATCTGTAGTGTATACCGCATCCACCCAAGTCGTCATTGACGTAGAAGTACGTTTCGCCTTAGGGAGTACCTATCTATCAACATTCAACACTGTGTGTAGCAACACGAATCTGAGCCACCGCTGGTGATGGATATTTTGTTGAATATTCGAAATAGTATTGACCCATGATATCTCTCGCGCCATACGCCCGCCATACCGTAGCTTTTCCTAGCCAAGTTATACACACCAGCAGAAGACACTGCAACGGAAATCATTACTAGAAACGCGATGTAGAACCAAGAAGAATACGCTCAAGAGCGACACTCGAAGCCTACGAGTAAAAGGCGCCCTTCTGGAAACTTTCAACACCCATATCACCCGCCTTGCTATCCACCTTCGGACCAACCTTCTCTGGTACTGGTGCTGGGGCTCCGGTCATGGTGGCAGTCCTGCTCGCGGCGCTGCTGTTCGTCATTGTTTGTGTTCTGCTACCAGCTGGGCTTCCGCTCTGACTTCCGCTGGTAATCTGTGCTGGTGTCTTGCGTTGAATAGGCTCGAGGTAGATGCCTGGGAGGTAGCCCATGCGTCCGTCTCTTGATCTGCACCTCCACCATTCTGATGCGTTGCCCATGGGATCGCTCTTGCTGAGCACCGCGACCATGTCTCCCTTCTTCACTGACAAGTCCATTGCGTGCATGTTGGCATTGGGTGTGAAGTCGTACAGCGCGCGGCAGAATTCAAGCTTGTTAGGGTCGAGCGGTTGCCCTGCCTGTGGGTTCTCGAGCATCTTCTGTTGCTCTTGGGCTTCTTGTGATCGTGCGAGCGCCTTGATGAGCTTGCCCATTAGGTAGGGAAGACCGAAGACTGCGAGCATGAAAACGATGAATGGCTTCTTGGAAGGCTTTGCGGGGGCTGGCGAGCCGTCGGGCATACGTCCGTTGAAGGCTGCGAAACTTGCGGGGGTGAGGGCGGTCGCATCTGCTGGTAGGGGTCGTCCGGTGAGCTTTGCGATTGCCGTTCGTATCCATCGCATTATTGTGTAGATGCCCAATACCGAGCCAAGCGTTTGTCGTAGGTTTCCGAACTGCTCTGCTACAGATACCATGGCTGTCGATGTTAGCATATCGCTGGACGTAGGAAAGGGGCGGACGTACCGAAGAATGAAGAATGTGTCGCCATATATGTGCTCTGGAGCATCTGTGCAAAGCCGCCGAACGCGCCGACAATGTTTTCAATCAGCTGAAAAGTGGCTGCTGTACTCTGGCTGAATGATTGTGTGAGGCTGCTGTTTGGGTCGCCCTGCATGCCTCCCATACCGCCGTACATTCCGCCCATGCCCATGCCCATACCTCCCATGCCGCCATACATGCCACCCATACCGCCCATTCCACCGTACATGGAGCCGTAGCCACCCCCCATGCTGGAGTAGGGCGAGCTGTAGCTGCTCATTCCTCCATATCCGCTGCTGTAGGGGGAGCCGTATCGGTTGTTCATGCTCGAGTAGTTGGACGCGTTGCGGTTCGCGACGGTGCTGAGTGAGTCTGGTACGGATGGTAGCGGAGGCGCACTCGAGGATGTGGCTGTTGAGGTGGGTGCTGTGCTGCTATTCGATCCAGTGAGGCCTGTGTTGTTGTTAGTCGCGGCGTCCCTGACGTATCGGATGGCTGGCGGACTCACCAACCGAGGCACTCGTCGCGCCGTTGCTTGTCTCCCAGGGCTTTGGCGGCGATGGCGCAGACATATTTCCGTGTGTGCCTCCTCCGCGCTACGTGCGCAGTACAGAAAGTGACTTTGCAGAGACGATGGCGGATGTCGTCAGCAAACGTCGAGAGGCTGGCAATTCGCGGCGATCGGGGCAGCGAGTTTTTGCGGGGAAACTGCGCCGGCCGAGACTGGCAATCGCTCAAGGGGCGGATCCGCGTCGACAGTGGCCGCACGTGAGCAGTAAGTTGGGCGATGTGTTGGATGCGAAGACGCGACGTTGGGTGTAGACGGTAATGGAGGCGATGAGTAGATGCGCAGTGTCGTCGGCCGGGATGCGGCTGGTCGTCGTTCACGGACGCTGAGTCGCGAACAGACCTCGGTTTCTCGTGCCCGCTTGGGCAGGCCTATCCGTCAGCTTGCCACCACTCCAACCGCCGGCCCACTCCGCTGCATCGCCCATGTCCGTCTTCAGATGATTATTGCATTGCTTTGAGCCTGCCTCGGTCGAATATCTCACGTGTCGGGACTTGACAAAAGATTTTCTTGTGCAATTCAAGAGCACTTTGGTTGTATTGCTAGGTGTATGGTTGCATGCAAGATGTCTTCACACGAATATCTCAATCCTCCAGGCCAAAACAACATCCACCTCAGTCCCCAATAGCATACAGAGAATGCACCCAGCTATCCGGATCGTATGCCACCAACTTCTGAATCGCATCATTTGACATGCTCTCTGAAAAATCAAAGTCGTCGTCCAACACCAATGCCGTAATGTGCGGATAGTGCCAAACAACCGCAAACTTCATCTTCTTCCCTACCGGTCTGCTGAAGTAGTTGGAGTCACCACCCTCCAGATTGCCCTGCCGATGTATAGTCGACTTTGCGCGTTCGGCCCCTTTGCTGAGAAGCTCGAATGCGTCGAACTCGCCACAGCCTGTTGACCAGCATGAGCAGGGAATGTTGTTGCGGTCGTTGCCGTACTGGAGGATGCGAGGTATGGCTGCATTGAGGAACCAGTAGGCCGGGGCGTCAGAGAGGAGGCCTTGGTCCGTGCCTACATTGTCGTAGTGATCCATTTGGAATTCGATGAAGAAGGCTTTCGAGGAGCCTGACCAGCCGTAGTGAGATGTCGCGTCTGGTCTCCAGTACGGACAGTCTGCGTCACACTCTTTATCGGACAGAACCACGATCTCGTTTTCAGACGTCTTTAGCGTGCCTTCGAACGGTTGACTCTCAGCCGCTACTTTGTCACCCCGTGGAGTGACGTAGCTGAGCGAGTTCCCAAATGCACTGAACATGTCAGCTTCGAAATTTATGGACCGAGGAAATACTCACTAGTCAAAAGTACCAGACTTTTGGGGATCACCCAGGTTAGCCATAAAGCTGAGCCCGGTGGCTTGAGCCGGTGATGTAGACGTGTAGTATGCTATCCGCTTCCAATCTGAACCCTGCCTCTTCGAAATGGGCGATGGCGAGGGCGAAGGGATGTCGAAAGGTTGTCCATCTGGACGCTGTGATACTGGTAATGGGTCTTGTGGAGGTGACGGTGAGGGCGAAGGGATGTCAAAAGGCTGTCCGTCCGGTCGCTGCGATACTGGTAGCGTCTCTTGTGGTGATGATAATGAAGGCGAGGGTACGATAGGCTGTCCATCGGGGCGCTGAGACACCGTCAATATGCCTTGCATTGATGATGGTGAGGGCGAGGGGAATTGGATAGGTTGTCCGTCTGGCAGCTGCGACACCGGTAATATGTCTTGTGTTGATGACGGTGAGGGCGAAGGGGAATCGAAGAGCTGTCCGTCTGGACGCTGGGACACTGGTAACGTGTCTTGCGGTGATGATGAGGAGGGCGAGGGGACCTCGAAAAGTTGTCCATCTGGATGCTGTGATACTGGTATAGTGTCCTGTGTCGATGATGTTTCCGGTGCATGCTTCAGTGTCGGCGTCGGACTGACGTAAACCTGCCCATTGGGTCGCTGAAAGATGGGTTCGGGCTCTTCGTTTTCAACGCAAGTACAGTTCGGATCTGGAAGTGTAGAGCCAGAGATCGATTGAGCACCAGACGTGGGCAAGCACGGCAGTGGAGAACCTATGTAGGTTGTGTTTGGTCCAGACTGTGTAATACCAGTCGGGGAGCAGGCCGCGTTTATGGTCACCGTCCGTGTCACTGTCGTCGAGACGCACCTAGACGATGTGGTGCATGCATCCCTGTTGAAAAGGCTGGGCCGGCCAGAAGATGTCGACTGTGTCAGCATAGTAGTAGGGTTTGTAGCCACTGGTGTCTCTGGCTGCTCCAACGATCGCCGACGGTTGTAGAAAGGTACTGTAGTTCGCTTCCCCATAGCGCGCGCGTCACCGGGTAGTTGGTATACGGCGAGTTGAGAGACGTTCATCGGCCCGCGAAGGTGCATGGACACCTGATCTTGTCAGCGATGTAACAACTGGAGCCCGAGTTAAATTATACTTGTCCGAACAATGGTGTCAGTGGTCCTGCGCTAGGATAGTCGACACGTTCATGACCACAGATACCAGTCTTTGGATCGACTGTAGTGGTCCGATTGTAGGCACCAGGCTGGCTGATGTTCCGGTAGGTGATGGCCCAGACCTCAGAACAGTACCAGTTGCCATCAGAGGATAGTTCAGCGGTACCGCGACATAGCTCTTTGGCGGTTCTGCTGTAGGCGAGGGGGAGGAGGATGACTGCGCTTAGTATTGTATGCTTCATGCTGAATAATTGAAAGAGGCTATTGTACGAGCAATGGGTTGCGGGGTGTGTATGAAGCGTGAAAGAAAACGTCGGAGTGAGGTAGGGTTGTGATGAGCTGGCACAGGATCCATGGATGTAGTATTATTGATATATTTGACTATGGCGTGACGACATCTAGCATGCGGAAGCCACGAGCAGTGTACGAGAAACCGCGTACGCGTGAGTCAACAAGAAAGTGCGATCTGAACGAGGCTGAAGGCGACAACAACCTAATGTAATTGAAAACTGCTTCTTGTAAGTCCATGTCGCCAGTAAAGTATCATGTAAATAAAGAAGTTGATAAGATCGCAGATCAGAGTATAAGTTGAATGCACTGGCAACGCCCTTACGGGTGTGCCTAAAATAAGAGGTGCCAAAAGTATGGGTTGTCATCATTGTGCGATGAAGAGAACGGCGGAAGTACATACCAAGTAGTAGATACAGGAGGAAGCGCAAGTGGAGGTGATCTGTATATCTGGTTCTTGTTAGCACTGGTCGCTCGCAAGATTTCACGCAGTAAAGCAGAGATGACACTTTTCAGAATAGAGATTTATGCACCGGCGAAGTTCCGAAGAACCCCGCCTAAAATAAGAGGCGTCGAATGCACTGGATCTCATCATTGTGATGGAAGGGAGGAACTGGGTTGAACTTACGTTGGGAGTGAGCTGCTGTAGCTGGCTTAGGGTAAGCAATTCCGAAAAGAATATCAATCGTGATCTGATGCGCGATCATCTAGCTTCAACATAGCCGAGACAATCGCTGTTGCACGCCGAGGTCAATGTTTTGACATTGTGAGGTGCTGAAGACGAGGTTGGTCGTCGCAGACTTTTTGTCAGGCAGGAGCTTTGACGCTAGCCGCGCACGGTCCACCACAGACCTAGCCGAGCCGCGAGAAATTGGAGTCTTCGATCGCGAACTTCAACCCACGACAAGCCCACCACCACGTCTCCGTACTAATCGACCAGGTCGCCATCCGGAACATTCATTCAAAATGGGTCGTCTTCACAGCAACGGAAAGGGCATATCAGCCTCCGCCATCCCATACTCCCGCAGCCCCCCGGCGTGGTTGAAGACCACCCCCGAGCAGGTTGTCGACCAGATCTGCAAGCTCGCGAAGAAGGGTGCTACACCATCTCAGTAAGACAATGGCTTGGAAAGGAATACACATGGAATTGGTCGACTAACACAATCGCAGGATTGGTGAGATCCTCCGTGACTCGCACGGTGTCGCTCAGGTCAAGGTTGTCACCGGCAACAAGATCCTCCGAATCCTCAAGTCGAACGGTACGATTGCCCTATACACATGAAAGCGCATGTCGACACAGCTCTGCTCCTCGTGAGCATCTGCGCGCTATACAAAACTGCATTTGTTGGTCTAGGCTAACATTTTGCGCTCAAGGCCTCAGCCCCGACATCCCAGAGGACCTCTACATGTTGATCAAGAAGGCCGTTGCCGTCCGCAAGCACCTTCAGACCAACCGCAAGGACCGCGACTCCAAGTTCCGCCTCATTCTCATCGAGTCCCGTATCCACCGTGTAAGTTTACCTATGTCGATACCATGTCAAAAGCACGTGCTAATCATCTCCAGCTCTCCCGCTACTACAAGACCGTCGGTGCCCTCCCCCCTACCTGGAGGTACGAGAGCGCCACTGCCTCTACCCTCGTCGCATAAGCAGATGTCGGATTGGTGTGGATGGTAGTCGTCATGGTAGACATTTAAGTGGAGTTTCACGGGCATGGATGCTTTGCGGATACCTAGCAGGATCACGATATGGAATGAATCAATCAAAAGCATCACCTCGAATTGAAATATACCCAATCTGCATTGAAAGTGTCAAAGTCTGAAATTCGCCTTTTGTATTGCTGCTTGACTTGGGTATCATCCTGACGCCGTCTCATACTTTTGGTGAACATGTGCCATGCGTTTCAAGTCGTTCCATATCGCTTGCCCTTCAAAACTATGCTGCCCGTCCAGCAGTCGAGCTTGCCAGATATACCGCAAAGCTTACCGCCGAAACGCGCATGCGCATGACAGTCTCCTCGTCCATGGCTGCTTGAGCGATGCTGCTCATGTGACTGCTCATCCACATAGCTACTCCATCTTCAGCCCAGGTATCCTATTCTCTTTCCGACGCCATCACCCCATCTCCTTTCCCCACAAGCTCATCACGTCCCCTCAATCTCCCTACTCTTCCCCGCCAAAAACTCACTCAACCACTTCAACGGTTTCTCTGGCTCCGCAGTAGCAAGATGCTTCATCGCCTCGAGCAAATGCGGCGTCACATGCTGATTCAGATACACCCGCGTGGGACTACCGTGTGGAATGGGTTGTGTGGGGGCTTGCGCAGTGGGATGCGGTGAGTTGCGCGATGAGGCTGCGGGAGTGGGTGTTGGCGCTGTGGTAGCTGTCGGAAGAGTTGGTGCGGAGGGCGGTGCGGGAGTTGAAGTGGAGGGTGTAGGAGGGACGGTTTGGACGCTGGGTTGGTGGGTCGGTGTAGAGGCTGAGGCGTCGAGGGTGGTGGGCTTGATGGGTGTGTTAGTAAGGGACTTTTGGTGGTGATGTCTATGATGGTAGCTTACCACTGGTGCTGAACCTGAATCTGCCATTTCTACATCTGCGGGTTGTTCTGTAGGTGCTTGTTGCGCTTCGCCGTTTGTGAGCGCTGGGTCGATGTCGGCGTTTGCGACGGCAGGGTTGGGAGATGGTTCTGCCATTTCTGAAGCTCGGTGATAGTTCTCCTGTGTGTTTGACGCGAATTGGCGCGGTTAAAGGAGGTGAGAGTTGGTGTCTGTGGCGTTGGGATGGCGAGTTGGACTTTCTTGAGAGCGTCTTGGTAGCTTGAGCTTCGAGCGCGATCGATGTTCGGGCTAGCCTCGGCGTTTTGGAGCTTTCCTTCACTTTCTTCGGTGGCACCATCACGACCTCCGCTTGTACGAGAGCACAATTTCTAGACCAGAGTACATTTTGGGAACTTCAAGGCTGTTGCATCAAATACATAGTTACGCGTCACAGCAATGACTTTGCCAGGTACAACTAAGGACACACTGACTTCTTCACACAATCCCATGATGAGAGCAGTATCGCACTTGAAAACAGATGATATGATAACTATCTTACAAGCTCGTCTACTTCGAATCAAACAAGCAAGGAACCAGAACGCCCTGCTACAGAAATGCAACCATCTCGAGACTCTCTTCATCATGCATTGCTCGGCCGTAATCCATATATATCCTCACTCGTGCTCATCCTTCGTCTGCATCATCAACGTGTGCTCCTACGATATTGCGTAGCTGCAGCCGTACGCATAAAGCGAAACCAAAAAGAAACAAAGCGCAATAACAGTAACTCATAGAAAAAAAGCCGTGTCACGCGGACCATTTAGACCGTCTTCACACGCAATGCTCGCATCCACCTATCGAGATCTTCGCTCAGAAGCATACCCCACATTCGTCGAAACAGTCGTCTTCATATCGTTATTCGTAATCACACTGTTGGTATCCCACGTCCCCGCCTCGGAAATAGCCGGGCTTGTCTGTCTCCTTGGTGCCCTCGGCCTTTCAGAACGGTGGTAGGACTTATTCTGGGACACCTGCGTAGCAGTAGCAGGCCCGTTGTTAGCGTGAGTGATCTCACTGCTTGTGTCCCAGGTGCCGGAGTCAGACCCGTCGTCAGAGAAACTGTGGTGCTCGTGCTGCTTTCGGAGTTGCTCGACTCGCTTGAGCTGCTCGAAGGGGCCGGGTGGGTAGCTCGATGGGCCAAGGTCGCTGAATTGCGCGGAGGGGTAGGGGACGTTGGTGGACACTGTTGTGGGAGGCGCACGCTGAGTGACCTCACTAGCGGTGTCCCATGTGCCGGTATCGCTGCCGCTCAGCCTTCTCAGCTGGCGGTGCATTATGCTTGAGTAGGGGACGTTGGTGGAGACGGTCGTGGGAGGCGC